GATTGCTATGAAGCAGGTTCCCTCAGACCTATTGAGTTCTTTCAAGTGATGCTATCTCAGACTGATAGAAACGAAATCTCTTTTACTCAGTCACTTAAACTCTACGGTATTGGAATTTTCATATTTATACAGATAAGTGAGAAACAGTAGCTAAAGATTTCGAAACGTGAAAGCCATGGAAAATGTGCTTTTGAAAATAACATTGCCCTGCAGTGAGTTGTAACTGATGTATTTTGGTGGTGGTGGTGTTATAGTACTTAATATTACTGTTTTCAAGGGACTTCTAACCTTTTGAAACTAAGTTTTAATACTTCTATATGAGATAGTTTTTCCGCTCCACAGTACATTAGCTATCTTTCTAGTGTACACTATACTTCTCATAAATTCCTGTATGAGGTATTCACTTTTGTAAAACTTTATTTAATATTTATATATAGTATTTTTTGTTTCATAGATAAGGACTGCAAGAGACAAATTTAATATAAGTTTATATGGTCCACTTGAAAAATTTCATGTCAGAATGTTACTAAAAATTTGTTTTATGAAAAGTACACTAATTTATAATCTGAAAATTGTAATGTGAGTAGAAGTCAATATGTCTTTTATTAGGAGCTATTCCTATAATCAGATGCTCAAGAGGAACTGCAGCTGAAATGGTGGCAGTGGTAAGAAACTATTTTCTAAACAAGTGTCATTGTTTTAAAACTTTCCTAACAGCTTGTTTACTTTTCTCAATACTAGGCAGAGATCTAGTGTCATTGTATTCTTTTCCTTACGATGGAAATAAAACTGGAAAGGAGATGCACCAGTTTTCCTTTCTCATTTCAGTTCCATGGAACTCATCTGTAGAAATTGTAATAGTATGGAATCAGCTGATGAGAAACTTAAACATAAATAATCATTCCTAATCTAGAATTTATCAAGATTTTCTGACAGGCATTATAATTACAACCATTAAGCTATATCTAAACAATTTCAAAAGTGTCTGTCTGACCTGGGTTTTTCTGTGTGTCTTAGTAAGAAATTTTTACCTATTTTGGTGGGAAACCCTGTAAGTACAAGACATTTTTACTATATCAAAATAAACTGACATTGGACTTGATCATCAAGTAGGGATGAAATTACAAAAGTAAATCACAATTAAAAATCTCTATAGCACTGTCTTAATTAGGAGTCACTGTGCTCTGTCGTTCTTTGTCAGTGAAGCCTTAATACTGATTAAACCTAAGCATTCAGTGTGCATGTATTCATAGAGGTTAATCTCATTTTTATGAAACACATAGCGTGGCAGTGTCTGACAGCCCAATTTGCTGCCTCTGCTATGGTTCTGTCTTGGTGCCTCCTACTGGTATTTTCTATTTGCATGTTTAGGGAGAGGGTGCTGATTGCTTGGGGGGAGATTAGTGGACATGAAGGAAACATCTCCTGTGTAGTCCTGGATATAGATATAAATGCTGGAGAGAGAAAACAGAAGAAAGAGATTTCTTTCTTTCCTGTGTGCAGTGGACCTAGACTTTCTGCAGCTAAGACATTTGTAAACTACAAAACCAGCACAATAAATCTTTAAATGTTGATCGTATAAAGAGGTTAGGAAACCGTTGGTCTGTTAAAAGCCATTTTGTTTTTTTCCCCCCTTCAGAAATTAGATAAGAAGCTCAGAGAGAATCTAAGAGATGCCAGAAACAGTCTTTTTACAGGTGACACACTTGGAGCTGGCCAGTTCAGGTATGGTGTTAGTAATAAATATATATTTTTATGTTCATATTTCAGTTGTCTGAAATATCTCATTAGGATAAATCACCACTGTACTGAAAACTGTGTTTACAATAATTTGGTTCACATTCTATATTAAAAGAGTTTATATACTCTTAAGGGAGTTTTCCAGTCTCTTAGCATAACCTGTTTGAAAACTTTTGTAGCTAGTAAGTGTGCAGTCCTAGGACAGTGGGACAAAAATTATGTAACAAACCTGGTAATTTTGTTCAACCTCTAATGCAGCAAGAACCAAGCTCCTGCAAATGCACTCAGTTTACAGGAGCATGATATGCAGTTGGATGTCTGAACAGATCTGTTAGCAACCTTTAGTCCATTAAAAAGAAACAAACACCCATTTTCTTACTTGTGAGCACTTATCAGTTGTAGTTATGTCAGAAGCAAGTGTTTCTCAGCTGATCCCTGTATCTACCAAAGGAGGACTGCTTAAGGACTACCACTTGGATAATGAAATACTTCAGGACTGTTAAGTCATGACCATTTGAATCCTTTGAGGTGAGAGAGGAGTGAGAAAAGACATTGTGGATGTTTGCCTCCTATGTATAATGTTGCCCCCAGATAGTTGAATACTCCACAGGCTGCTTTAGGAAAGTGTATTATAAGAGTTTACACTGTACATGAAGTGAGGAGATGTATTGGGAAGACTGTGGCTGAAGGAAACAGTTATGATCTCCTAACTGGAGATAAGATAGTCATAATATTTTTATCTCCAATTAAGAGCAGAACTTGGATAAAAACCACAAAAACCATCAAGGGTTGGCAAAATGGAATGAGATTGAAAGGTATTAGAAGAGAGAATAGCTGTGAAATACCAGTTCCCTCATTTTCATGGGAACTGAATTGTAACCACTGTTTTACCTTCAGCAGAGTGGCTTGTTTTCCTGATAGTATAGCATCGTTAACCTCAGAAAATCAAAATGCAAGGAAAGGGAAACATGGAACCTTTAACCAGTAAAATTACTTCAGATCTTAAGTTTGGTTTTCAGAATCAGGTGACTAAGGCTCTTGAGATTATGTATCTACACAAAAATACTTACTGCAAGGAAATCCAGAGCATGGAATTAATGTGTTTTCGCTCTGTTTAAATACACTGTAATTTAGCCATCACATTTACTGTAGGGTTAATGTGCTTAAGGGAAATGGTTGCAATAATGTTCTGTCAATTCATAGTCTTCAAAGAATCATAGAATAGAATAGTCTGCCTTGGAAGGGACCTTTAAAGGTCATGTAGTCCAACTCCCCTGCAGTAACCAAGGACATCTTCAACTAGATCAGGTTGCTCAGAGCCCCATCCAACCTGACCTCGAATGTTTCCAGGGATGGGGCATCTACCACCTCTCTGGGCAACCTGTGCTGGTGTTTCACCACCCTCCTTGTGAACAATGTCTTCCTTAGATCTAGTCTGATTCTACTCTCTTTTAGTTTAAAACCATCACCCCTTGTCCTGTTGCAACAGGTCCTGCTAAAAAGTCTGTCCCCATCTTTCTTAGAAGCCCCCGTTAAGTACTGGCAGGCTGCAATAAGGTCTCCCCGGAGCCTTCTCTCCTCCAGGATGAACAACCCCAACTCTCTCAGCCTGTCCTCGTAGGAGAGGTGTTCCACCCCACTGATCATTTTTGTGTCCCTCTGGACCCTGTCGAACAGGTTCATGTCTTTCCTGTGCTTCCTGTCTTCGTTATAAATTTTTCATGCAGCTGTAACCAAAGACATTTAGGCATATCTGCATTCTTTTTCCACAAAATTGAGTATTGATGGAATTAGCACAATACATTTCAGAGGTTCATAATTTTTACTTTATGGACTTCATAGACAAGCAAAGAGAAAAATGAAATTAAAAACCCTTGAGAGAGATTTTATATTTGAGGTTCATAGTTAATAATAAGGTTGAATATTACCCACTCAAACAGTTGTTTGGAACTCAAATGTGTATCCACACAAAGAGAGATTAGCTAATCCCTAAAAGAGTAGTTACTGTTAGTGGTTTGACTTCTGCTAATATTTATGCATTGGTAATTTCAGTTAGTACAAAATAAAATAATCTTTTTATCATGACTTAGACAGTGATTCATGGAATTTCTGGCAGTGATCAGCTCCAGATGCTTTGGGGAAGGCTGGAAGAACTCTGCAGTAGGCAGTTTAGCTTTTAACTTGAAATATGATGTAGAAGGTGGCTGGTATCACTCAGGATGTTACTGGGGTGTTCTAAACATGTTTAAAGAAGTACTAATACAGTGTCATCTTTTCAGCTTCCAAAGGCCCCTATTAGTCCTTGTTGACAGAAACATAGATTTAGCAACTCCTCTACATCATACTTGGACATACCAAGCTTTAGTGCATGATGTTCTGGTAAGAATAAATCTCATTTTGTTACCAAAGCTATTTATTCATTCAGTTTGTTATTAAACTTAATACCAGATTCTCTCTTAATCCAAAATCTGTTTTGTCTGTTTTATTTGGAAGTTGTTCAGTAAAAAATAACTTGGAAGATTTTCTGTAGAAGGTTTATTTAGCAATAACTTCTAAAATGTTTAAAAAGTTGAAATCTCGATACTATCAAAAGATAGGTAATTCATCAATCCTTTTCTTAAGTAGTTCGTGATCTTTTATGATATGTAAACTCCAAATTCTATTACGTGCAAATCAATTTTGAAAAATAAATGTTTTTAATGAATTTCTAAACCGATTTTAGTATTAGTCTGAATTTCTAAAAATATCTATTTCTGGTTTTCTCCACAAGGTGGTGCAGGTGTTCAATTTAGAGATACCAAGTGGTCTATGACCCTACTGTGAGGAACCTAAACCAGATTTTTTAAAATAATGTTTTGGAAATTCAGCTAGCCTTAAACCACTTTAATTTCCTCAAGTTTATTTTATAAAACCAGTAGTAGGAACGTACTTGAATGAAAGCAAATATTGTTTACCTAAGATTTATGCATTTCTTATATAGTTAACGGAGTAAATAATAAAATATAATATGATTAAGAATAATTACTATCTGTAGGCTTTTTTATATTGTAGAGTTAGTCATGCAAACCATTTCAATATCTAGGTTTGAGAAATATTTTGGTTTTATTATTGAGACTGTTAAAGGAATATGTAATATATGCACACGCACATAGGTGTTTGTATACAAAGCTGGTTGTGAACTGTATAGTCATATATACAGTGTTGTCCAGGAACTTGCATTGCTATGATGAAAATATTTTAGCACTAATCGGACACTTTAAAATTCTGTTTTATGTAATTCATTCCTTATGAAAGTCCCTTCTTTTAAACTGAAGGGTGCTTTTTACAAATAATCAATTTTTAGTCTGGTTTCTTTAGGAAAGGCATACATGAAAAAAACCCCCACGGTTTGCACTCTGTTTTCTCCAATAACTGTTGAACTAGCTAGAGACTTGCAAATAGAAGTACTGAATTTCTACAGGTTTCTTTTGAAAATTGGTGAAAGTGTAGAGGATGGAAACCCAAATTAGAATTTTTACAGGTGTAAATGCTATTGCACAAGATCTACACTTGTTTCGGTTTGTTACCTGCCGACCATTTAATCAGCAAATGCTCACTTACTAGATAGTTAAATCCATACAAAGCTCCAAGTATTTGCCTCCTACTCAGCTGCTAGGTAGAGAAAGTAGTGTCAGGTGGCTTCAGGCATGTGTTGGGGTAGGACTTTGGTGCATCAAGATGCATTTGAGGAATCAAAGATGTAGTGGAAGCTGAGGACAGCTAATCCTACAAATACGGAGGGGTATTAGAATAACACTAGAAGAATGATTTGAGGATCCTTGGATATTTATCTGTACTGCATCAGGCTTCAGTAGTTTCTCTAGAACAACTTATTAAATGTTGCATGTTGCCTCTAATTTTTGACTGAGTTGATAAGATTATGAATTTGTCCAGTGAAATTGTAACCAAGTGGCCTTTGAGTCCATGTCAAGGGCAAAAGCTTAATTTCAAAACCAGTCAAGTTATTCACCTTAAAGGGAAGCATGCCAGATTCTCACATATTTCATGAAATAATCACAGTAGCCTTTTAAAAGGCCATCAGTAGTAACTGTGAAAGTGTTACCAAGGTGATGATTATGTAAACTGTACTTTCAAATAAATTGTTTTTCATTTAAGCTCTCAGTTACAATGGTCCAGGAATTCTATGGGCTGTTGAACTAAATGCTAACCCAGCCACAAAGTTGTGTGCTGCATCTGTTTAGATTATAATGGTGGTGTTTCTACACATAAACAGGCTTGTATGAAGAGATTCTCATTTCTGACTAAAAAACCTTTCAGGAGTGGATACAGAAAAATGGGAGGCATGGATAGAAAGCCTTTTAAAGACAAAATGGGGAGGTGAAAGGAGGAACACCAATCAATAACAATCATTTTGGTAAAACTCCTTGTAAATGCCAAAACTAACTTGGAAACTCAGGTCACTGGTGAGTTAAATTGAGCCAAAACATAGATCTCTGTTAAAAATTACAGCTGAATTTGCAATCAAATGATTTTTTTTTCCCTTTAAGTTTTTATTGAACATATGTACTTGAAAAATACTCTTTTTTTTTTTTTTTTTCTGAAACATTAAACACATCTTGTAAGATGAGGTTTGTGCTCATTGACTGCATGTGCTTCCTTTGAGTAGCTACTTGGCTTTGTTTATATTCTGGCATGGAACATTTGTAGTATTTCATTTTGTGTGAACTCTGCCAAGGGATAACTAGAAACATTTAAAAATTTTATTTGACAATTTCCATTACTGTGATCTAGTACTGTATACTGTAATGAACATGATAAAGTAGAATTTTATTTCTGGAAAAAAAATCTATTCTAAAATATTCATGGCAGATTCTGCATAGTTGAAGATTTGACTCTATCGTTATTTGCCAAGTGAAGAGCACCTTTGAAATACTAAACGTTTTTGAAAAGGGTTAGAATGAAGTCAGCAAGCAGAGTACTTGTTTATTTTTGTTGAAAACCAGAGGGAGTATGTATGCTGCAGAAAATACAGAGCTGTCCTTGGAAAAAGTAACAGGTGAAAGAACCAGAAGACGTATTATGTGAGCATAACTGTGTCATCTAGCAAAAAGATGTAGTTTCTAGGTTCATGCATCTGTGGAAGAAGAAAAGCTATATGGAGAAGTAGCAGCTTTGTTGCAAACTGTTGCTTTATCATGCACTTCCTTTTTCACTAGTGTTTAAAAAAATA